TTCTCCCTATCTTGCTGAATCATCCCTACCTTTCATAAACACCCTTGCCTTGCTTAATCACCCCTACCTTGCCAAATTCCCGCCCCCTTGTTGAATTCTCTCTACCTTGCTTAATCACCCCTTCCTTGCTTAATCACTCCTATCTTGCTTAATGCCCACTATCTTGCGTAATCACCCCTACCTTGCTGAAGACCCACCCTTTTGCTGAATTCTCTCTACCTTGCTTAATCAACCCTACCTTGATGAATCATCCCTATGAAGCTTAATCATCCTATCCGTTCTGATTCCCCCCCACCTTGCGAAATCATCCCTACCTTGCAAAATTACACCTACCTTTCTGAATTCCCATTACCTTGCTTAACCCCCCCTACCTTGTTTACGCACTCCTACCTTGCCTAGTCTCTGATACTTTGATTTACAACCCCTACCAAGGAGATATTACTTTTAGAAGTTTTGCACTTGACCCATACTAGACCAAAGCCTAACCATGCTGAGATCTGGATTTGATGTAATAAACAAAAGCTAGTCCCATATTATTGGGTTCTCAAAATGGCGTTCGACTCGTGAGCATGACTATCGAACTGTAGGACCTGATTCCAAGTGGGCAAAGAGATATTACATTTAGAAATTTTGCACTTGACCCGTACTAGATCAAAGCCTAACCATGCTGGGACCTGGATTCTATATCATGAACGAAAGCTCCTAAGCCCCATATTCTTGGGTTTCCAAAAGGGCCTTCGACTCGTGAGCATGACCATCGAATTGTAGGGCCTGATTCCAAGTAGGCAATGAGATATTACTTTTAGAAGTATTGCACTTGACCAGTACTCTACCAAAACCTAGGCGTGCTGAGACTTGGATTCTAAATCATAAACAAAAGCTCCTATGCCCCATATTCTTGTGTTTCCTGAAGGGCCTTCGACTCGTGAGCATGCGTATCGAATTGTAGGACCTAATTTTACATGGGCAAAGAGATTAATTTTATAAGTTTTGCACTTGACCCATTCTAGACCAAAGCTTAACCGTGCTGAGACCTGGATTATATAACATAAACAAAGGCTAAAAAGCACTCACACGCCTCTACATTTGGTTTCAGGACCCAACTACAGAGCCTATCGACATGTGGGGTTCAAACAACTCGCACGCTACTCTGGGGGGTGACAAACTAGTCGCATGCCACTCGGGGGGGAGGCAAACCACTCGCTGGCCACACAGGGGGTTAGCAAAACACTCGCACGCCACTCTCAGGGGGTGGCAAACCACTCGCACGCCACTCTTAGGGGGTGGCAAACCATTCACACGCCACTTCGATGGGTGGCAAACCACTCGCACGCAACTCACGGGGGGTGGAAAACCACTCGCACACAATTCTGGGGGGTGGCAAACCACTCGCACGCCACTCTTGAGGGGGTGGCAAACCACTCGCACGCCACTCTCGGGGGGTGGCAAGCCACTCACACGCCACTCTCGGGGGGGGACAAACTACTCGCACTCCACTCTCGGGGGTTGGCAAACTGCTCGCACGCCACTCTCAGGGGGTGGCAAACCACTCGCACGCCACTCTCAGGGGGTGGCAAACCACTTGCACACCACTCTCGAGGTGTGGCAACCCACTCGCACGCAACTCTCGGGGGGTGGAAAACCACTCGCACGCCACTCTGGGGGGTGGCAAACCACTCGCACGCCACTCTAGGGGGTGGCAAACCAGTCGCACACAACTTGCAGGGTTGGCAAACCACTCCCACGCCACTCTAGAGGGGTGGCAAACAACACGCACGCCACTCTACGGGGGTGGTAAATCACTCGCACGCCACCCTGGGGTGTAGCATACCACTCGCACGCCACTCTCGGGGGTTGGCAAGTCACTCGCACGCCACTCTCGGGGGGTGGCAAACCACTCGCCCGCCACTCTCGGGGGTTGCAAACCACTCGCACGCCACTTACGGGGGTGGCAAACCATTCGCACACAACTTGCAGGGTTGGCAAACCACTCCCACGCCACTCTAGAGGGGTGGCAAACAACACGCACGCTACTCTACGGGGGTGGTAAGTCACTCGCACGCCACCCTGGGGGGTAGCATACCACTCGCACGCCACTCTCAGGGGTTGGCAAGTCACTCGCACGCCACTCTCGGGGGGTGGCAAACCACTCGCCCGCCACTCGGGGGGGTGGCAAACCACTCGCACGCCATGCGGGGGGGTGACAAACCACTTGCACACTACTTGCGGGGGTGGTTTGTCACCCTCCCACCGCTCGCACGCCACTCTCGAGGGGCGGCAAACCACTCGCACGAGAGTGGTTTGCCACTTCCTAAGAGTGGCGTGTTAATGGTTTGCGAACCGAGTGGTGTGCGAGTGGTTTGCCCCCCTCTTAGAATGGCGCGTGACTTGTTTGCCACCCCCTAGAGTGGCGTGCGAGTGGTTTGCCACCCCCCAGAGTGGCGTGCGAGTGGTTTTCCACCCCCCGAGAGTTGTGTGCGAGTGGGTTGCCACACCTCGAGAGTGGAGTGCAAGTGGTTCGCTACCTACTGAGAGTGGCGTGCGAGTGGTTTGCCACCCCCCAAAGAGTGGCGTGCGAGAGGTTTGCCACCCCCCGTCAGTGGCGTGCGAGTTGTTTGCCACTCCCGAAGTGACGTGTAAATGGTTTGCTACCCCCCGAGAGCGGTGTGCGAGTGGTTTGCCACCCACTAGAATGGCATGCGAGTGGTTTACCGCCCCTCGAGAGTGGCGTGCGAGTGGTTTGCCACCCCTAGAGAGTGGCGTGCGAGTGGTTTGCCATCCCCCAGAGTAACGTGCGAGTGGTTTGTCACCCCCCGAGAGTGGTGTGCGAGTGGTTTGCCACCCCGGCAAGTGCGTGCGAATGGTTTGTCACCCCCCCACATGGCGTGCAAGTGGTTTGCCCCCCCCCAGAGTGGCGTGCAAGTGGTTTGCCACCCCCTAGAGTGGAGTGCGATTGGTTTGCCACCCCATGAGAGTGGCGTGCGAGTGGTTTGCCACCCCCCAGAGTAATATGCGAGTGGTTTGTCACCCCCCGAGAGTGGTGTGCGAGTGGTTTGCCACCCCCGCAAGTAGCGTGCGAGTGGTTTGTCACCCCCCCGCATGGCGTGCGAATGGTTTGCCACCCCCTAGAGTGGCGTGCGAGTGGTTTGCCACCCCCTAGAGTGGAGTGCAAGTGGTTTGCCACCCCATGAGAGTGGCGTGCGAGTGGTTTGCCACCCCTCGAGAGTGGCGTGCGAGTGGTTTGCCACCCCCCGAGAGTGGCGCGTGAGTGGTTTGCCAACCCTCGAGAGTGGCGTGCAAGTGGTCTGCCAACCCCCAGGGTGGCGTGCGAGTGATTTATCACCCCCGTAGAGTGGTGTGCGATTGGCTTGCCACCCCCTAGATGGGAGTGCGAGTGGTTTGCCACCCCATGAGAGTGGCGTGCGAGTGGTTTGCGACCCCTCGAGAGTGGCGTTCGAGTGGTTTGCCACCCACCCCCGAGTGGCAGACGAGTGGTTTGCCACCCCCTGAGAGTGGCGTGCGAGTGGTTTGCCAACCCCCGAGAGTGACGTGCGAGAGGTATGCCACCCCCCAGGGTGGCGTGCGAGTGATTTACCACCCCCGTAGAGTGGCGTGCGTGTTGTTTGCCACCCCTCTAGAGTGGCGTGGGAGTGGTTTGCCAACCCTGCAAGTTGTGTGCGATTGGATTGATATGATATGATATACAATCCAGGTCTCAGCATGGTTAGGCTTTGGTCTAGAATGGGTCAAGTCCAAAACTTCTAAAATTAATATCTCTTTGCCCACATAAAATCAGGCCCTACAATTCGATACGCATGCTCACGAGTCGAAGGCCCTTCAGGAAACACAAGAATATGGGGCATAGGAGCTTTTGTTTATGATATAGAATCCAGGTCTCAGCATGCCTAGGTTTTGGTCGAGTACTGGTCAAGTGCAATACTTCTAAAAGTAATATCTCATTGCCTACTTGGAATCAGGTCCTACAATTTGATGGTCATGCTCACGAGTCGAAGGCCCTTTTGGAAACCCAAGAATATGGGGATTAGGAGCTTTCGTTCATGATATAGAATCCAGGTCCCAGCATGGTTAGGCTTTGATTTAGTACGGGTCAAGTGCAAAACTTCTATATGTAATATGTCTTTGCCCACTTGAAATCAGGTCCTACAGTTCGATAGTCATGCTCATGAGTCGAACGCCATTTTGAGAACCCCAGAATATGGGACTTAGGAGCTTTTGTTTATTATATCAAATCCAGATCTCAGCATGGTTAGGCTTTGGTCTAGTATGGGTCAAGTGCAAAACTTCTAAAAGCAATATCTCCTTGGTAGGGGTTGTAAATCAAAGTATCAGAGACTAGGCAAGGTAGGAGTGCGTAAACAAGGTAGGGGGGGTTAAGCAAGGTAATGGGAATTCAGAAAGGTAGGCGTAATTTTGCAAGGTAGGGATGATTTCGCAAGGTGGGGGGGATTCAGAAAGGATAGGATGATTAAGCTTCATAGGGATGATTCATCAAGGTAGGGTTGATAAAGCAAGGTAGAGGGAATTCAGCAAAAGGGTGGGTCTTCAGCAAGGTAGGGGTGATTACGCAAGGTAGTGGGAATTCAGCAAGATAGGAGTGATTAAGCAAGGAAGGGGTGATTAAGCAAGGTAGAGAGAATTCAACAAGGGGGCGGGAATTTGGCAAGGTAGGGGTGATTAAGCAAGGCAAGGGTGATTATCAAAGGTAGGGTTGATTACGCAAGATAGGGATGATTAAGCAAGGCAGGGGTGATTAAGAAAGGTAGGGGGGACTTAGTAAGATAGGGAGAATTCAGCAAGGTAGGGGGGTTTCAGCAAGGTAGGGTTGATTCAACAAGGACGGGCAGATTCAGCAAGGTAGGGTTGATTAGGCAAGGTATAGGTGATTCAGCAAGGGAGGGGGCATTAAGCAAAGAAAGGGAAACTCAGCAACGTAGGGGAGACTCAGCAAGACCTTGGGAATTCTGCAACTTAGGGGTGATTAATCAAGGTAGGGGTTATTAAGCAAGGTAGAAGTGATTAAAAAAGGTAGGGGGAATTCAGCTAGGTAGGGCTGATTAAGCAAGGAAGGCGGGATTCAGCAAGGTAGGTGGGATTCAGCAAGGTATGAATGATGAAGCAAGGTAGTGGGAATTCAGCAAGATAGGGGAGATCATGCAAGGAAGGGGTGATTAAGCAAGGTAGAGGGAATTCAGCAAGTTGGTGGAAATGCTGCAAGATAGGGGTGATTAAGCAAGACAGGGGTGATTAAGTAAAGAAGGGGTGATTACACAAGGTAGGGGTGATTAAGAGAGGCAGGGATGATTCAGCAAGACAGGGGTGATTCAGGAAGTCAGGAGTGATTACGCAAGGTGAGGGTAATTCAGCAAGGAAGGGGGGATTCAGCAAGGTAGGGGATCCTAAGCACCGTAGAAGGGATTCAGCAATATAGGGATAATTTAGCAAGGTAGGGATGATTAAACAACTTAGAGATGGTTTATCAAGGTAGGGGTGATTAAGCAAGGTAGGAGTGTTTGAACAAGGTAAGGGAAAATAATCAAGAAGTGGGAATCCAGCAAGTAGGGTTGATTATGCAAGCTAGGGGTGATGAATCAAGCGAGGGGAGATAAAGCAAGCTAGGGGTGATTCAGCAAGGAAGGGTGAATTCAGCAAGATAGGGGGAATTGAACAATTTTGGGGTGATTAGGCAAGGAAGGGGTGATCAATAAGGTTAGGGGTGATTAAGCAAGTTAGTGGTAATTCAGCAAGGTAGAGGTGATTAAATAATGCTGTGAGTACTCTGCAAGGTAGGGGTGATAAAGCAAGGTAGGGAGGATTCAGCAAGATAGGGAGAACTCAGCAAGGTAGGGGGGATTCGGCAAGATATGCGGAATTCAGCAATTTAGTGGTGATCAAGCAAGTTAGGGGTGATTCTGCAACGTACGGGTCATGAACAAAGATCAGGGGAATTCAGTATGGTAGGGGTGATTAAGCAAGGTAGTGGGGACTCCGTAGGTAGGGGGTGGGAACTGTTATAGTCACAATAGGCTCAGATGTGCCAATAATGAGAGATAGAGAGCACGGTCGGATTTCCGTCAGACGGCTTCAAATATTGATAACGATCTGCTCGCTGACTTAAATGGTGATCTGTATATTGGATCTGGAGCGCGGTGCTGTCATTTATCAGCAGCAAGTGTAATCATGAAATTCCATGAAGATTTGACGACGCTATGGGGGTTTGACTGGCAGGAGGTACAGCAGCCACTTTAGTCTTAGGAGTACAAAAAAAACTTAGGAAGAAGAATTCGAGAGGGAGATGGTTCCCAGCCTCTACATACCCCAAGAGCTGAGGTCCTGATTGGTGGTACACCACCACAGAGTTCCCAACCACGAAGAGTCTCGAAACCAACCCTCCAAGGGGCTACACCAAGTGAAATGTAACACTACACGAAGTAGCGTTACTATTTTAACTATTTAATATTTATCCGTGTCCCTTGGGCTTGAAATCTTGAGCTCTTGGTCTTGTATCTGCAAGATAAATTCTTCTTGAGTTGATGGGGGCTTGCTGCACACACCTGCGACGTGATGGACACTTCACACTCGACAAAATAGAAAAAACACATGCGACACACAAACGACGACTTGACATGCGAGCTGTAAAAACTCGCTTATGTCTTGACCGGCACAAACCAAATTGTGATACACCATTCAAACACACACACAAGCACTGGATAGCAATGATATAGACTCACAATTCATTCCATGCCATGCATGCACACACACAAACAAGGACGACAAGCCGAGTGCAAGCCTTAGGGTTGCACCAACAAACTCCCCCTCGGATTGTTGGCCTTATAATCTGCTCCCCTTAGTTCAGAGCCATCCCAGCAAGCTTGCAACACTTCCAATGCTGCTGCTCAACGAGCCTCTTGGTCATCATATCAGCTGGCTGCGACGTCGTCTTCACGTAGTGCAACTCCACTTCACCCGCGGTTACCATGCTCCTCACCCAATGCCACTTCACCTTCATGTGCTTGGTAAGGCCATGAAGAACGGGGTTCTTTGCCAATGCAATAGCACCTTGGCTATCACAGTAGAGTGGGGTAGGTCCTTGCTGCTCCTCCCCCAATTCAGCTAGCAAACGCCGCTGCCACACAACCTCTCTTATGGCACGGAAGAGTGCCATGTACTCGAACTCCACCGAGCTCAATGCTTGGTCCACTTGCTTCTTGCTCTCCCAAGCTGTTGGTCCTCCATCAACACAGCAGATGAAGCCTCCCACACTTGTCATGTCCTCTGGTTCTGATGCCCAAGATGCATCAGAGAAGGCGGTGAGAAAGAGCCTCCCGGGTTCGACTCCATCCGCACCCTTTTGACGCCTTTGTGCCGCCGCGGAGTATTGCAGTCCAACAGTTGCTGTTTGGCCAAGGTACTTGGCCACCCTCTCTCCAGCTGCTACCTGCTCTTCATTAGGGCATTGGAAAACCCTAGCTAGCTGCCCCGTAGCAAAGGCTGCATCCGGCCTTGTGTGAACGGCCGCATACATGAGGCTGCCCACCAAGGAGTGAAAACGGCGCCTCTCCTCTTCACCAACACTTTCCTCTGCTGGTCCTTTCATACACTTGAACCCTGAGGGAAGAGGAGTAGCCACATGACCTTCACTCTTCCCAAAGTTTGCAGCCAAGGCCTCCAAGTACTTCTTTTGATGCACTCGCATCCACCGCTTCTCCACATCTCGCTCAATGTGAAGCCCAAGGTAGTAGTTGACGTCACCAAGGGTTTTGCACTTGAACTTGTCTTGAAGCTTCAGCATCACCTCCTTCACAAGGTCAGAGGAGGGTGAGAATATGAGGATGTCATCCACATAAACCACCATGAAGCTCCTCTGCTCCCCCTCGCCAAGCATGAACAAGGATTGATCGGCCGTTGAGGGAGTGAAGCCGATCGCCTCCAAGACTTCCCGCAGCTTGATGTACCATTGCCTAGGGGCTTGCTTGAGGCCATAAAGTGCTTTCTTCGGCTTCCACACTTTGGCACTCCCATCATTGTACCCCTCTGGCTGCTCCATGTAGGTCTCTTCCTCCAAAACGCCGTTGAGGAAGGCCGTTACTATATCCATTTGCTTCACCACCCATCCCTTGATGGCCGCCGCGGCGAAGAGGGTTCGAAGGGTTGTACCCTTCACCACAGGGGCATACACTTCATTGTAGTCCTTCTTCTCTTGCTGCTGATACCCCTTGGCTACAAGTCTGCTCTTGTAGTGCTCAATGTTGCCGTCGGCGTCGGTCTTGCGCTTGAAGAGCCACTTGGAAGAGATCGCCTTACGCCCCGGAGGTAGGTTCACCAAGTCAAACGTGTCGTTCTCGATGATGCTCCCCATCTCTTCATCTGAGGCCTTCTTCCACTCCTTCCCATTGGGGCCCTCCCAAGCCTCATTGGAATTTGTAGGCTCCCCCGGCATCTCCACCGGAGAGAAGAAGGCAAAGGCGCACTCCTCGCTTTCATCTTCCGCATCATCGCCTAGCATGAGAGCCGAACCGGTCAAGGTTGAGTTGGCTGGTCCTCCAAGCCACTCGCACTCGCACGCCACTCTCATGGGGTGGCAAACCACTTGCACTCCACTCTAGGGGGTGGCAAACCACTCGCACGCCACTCTAGGGGGTGGCAAACCACTCGCACACCATGCGGGGGGGTGATAAACCACTCGCACGCTACTTGCGGGGGTGGCAAACCACTCGCACACCACTCTCGGGGGGTGACAAACCACTCGCATATTACTGTGGGGGGTGGCAAACCACTCGCACGCCACTCTCATGGGGTGGCAAACCAATCGCACTCCACTCTAGGGGGTGGCAAACCACTTGCACACCACTCCGGGGGGTGGCGAACCACTTGCACGCCATGCGGGGGGGTGACAAACCATTCGCACGCACTTTCCGGGGTGGCAAACCACTCGCACACCACTCTTGGGGGGTGACAAACCACTCGCACGTTACTCTGGGGGATGGCAAACCACTCGCACGCCACTCTCTAGGGGTGGCAAACCACTCGCACGCCACTCTCGAGGGGCGGCAAACCACTCGCATGCCACTCTAGTGGGTGGCAAACCACTCGCACACCGCTCTCGGGGGGTAGCAAACCATTTACACGTCACTTCGGGAGTGGCAAACAACTCGCACGCCACTGACGGGGGGTGGCAAACCTCTCGCACGCCACTCTTTGGGGGGTGGCAAACTACTCGCACGCCACTCTCAGTAGGTAGCAAACCACTTGCACTCCACTCTCGAGGTGTGGCAACCCACTCGCACACAACTCTCGGGGGGTGGAAAACCACTCGCACGCCACTCTGGGGGGTGGCAAACAAGTCACGCGCCATTCTAAGAGGGGGGCAAACCACTCGCACACCACTCAGGGGGAATCGCAAACCATTAACACGCCACTCTTAGGAAGTGGCAAACCACTCGCACGCCACAATGGGGGTGGCAAACCACCAATACGCCATGTGAGGGGGTGGCAAACAACTCGCACGCCACGCGGTGGGGCGGCAAACCACTCGCACACCACTCTCGGGGGGTGGCAAAACCGCTCGAACGCCACATTTTGGGGGGTGGCAAACCACTCGCACGCCACTCTCGGGTGGTGACAAACTACTCGCACGTTACTCTGTGGGGTGACAAACCAGTCGCACCCCACTCTCAGGGGGTGGAAAACCACTCGCACGCCACTCTGGGGGGTGGCAAACCACTCGCACGCCACTCTCGGGGGGTGACAAACCACTCGCACTCCACTCTTGGGGTGGCACACCACTCGCACACCACTCTGGGGGGTAGCTATCAACCCGCATGTCACACTGGGGGGTGGCAAACCACACACACGCCACGCGAAGGGGTGGCAAACAACTTGCACGCTATGCGGTGGGGTGGCAAACCACTCGCACGCCACTTACGGGGTTGGGAAACCACTCGCACGCAACATGCAGGGTTGGCAAACCACTCGCACGCCACTCTAGACGGATGGCAAACAACACGCACACCACTCTCGGGGGGTGGTAAACCACTCTCACACCACCCTGGGGGGTGGCAGACCACTCGCACGCCACTCTCGGGGGTTGGCAAACCACTCGCACGCCACTCTCGGGGGGTGGCAAACCACTCAAACGCCACTCTCGGGGGTGGCAAACCACTCGCACGCCACTCTCGGGGGGTGGCAAACCACTCAAACGCCACTCTCGGGGGTGGCAAACCACTTGCATGCCACTCTCGAAGGGGTGGCAAACCACTTGCACGCCACTTTGGTGGGTGGAAAACCACTCACATGCCATGCGGGGGGGTGGCAAACAACTTGCACGCCACTCCCGAGGGGTGACAAACCACTCGCACGCCACTTGGGGGGGTGGCAAACCGCTCGCACATCACTCTCAGAGGGTGGCAAACAACTCGCACTCCACTCTAAGGGGTGGAAAACCACTCGCACGCCACTCTGGGGGGTGGCAAACCAGTCGCACTCCATGCGAGGGGCTGACAAACCACTCGCAAGCCACTTGCGGGGGTGGCAAACCACTCGCACGCCACTCTCGGGGGTGGCAAACCACCTGTACGCCACTCTATGGATTGGCAAACCATGCGCAAGCCACTTTCGGGGGGTGGCAAACCACTCGCACTCCACTTTCAAGAAGTGGCAAACCACTCGCACGCCACTCTTAGGGGTGGCAAACCGCTCGCACGAAACTCTCAGAGGGAGGCATACGAGTTGCACACAACACTCAGGGGGTGGCAAAATAACTCGCACGCCACTATGGGGGATGGCAAACCACTCGCACGCCACTTTGGGGGGCGGCAAACCACTTGCATGCCACTCTGGGGTGTGGCAAACCACTCGCACGCCACTCTCGGGGGTTGGCAAACCACTCGCACGCCACTCTGGGGGTTGGCAAACCACACGCACCCCACTCTCGGGGGGTAGCAAACCACTCACATGCAACTCTTGGGGGGTGGAAAACCACTCGCACGCCACTCTGTGAGGTGGCAAACCACTCGCACGCTACTCAGGGGGGTGGCAAACAACTCGCATGCCACCCACGGGTGGAGCAAACCACTCGCACACCACTCTAGGGGGTTTGGCAAACCACTCGCATGCCACTCTAGGGGGTTTGGCAAACCAATCGCATGCCATACAGGGGGGTGGCATACCACTCGCACGCCACTCCCGGGGGGTGATGGGATTTTAGACGCGATAGTGGTTGGAGTCTGGACCGGATGGTGGTGGGATTTTAGACTGGGTGGTGTTGGGAGTTTCGACCGGGTGGTGGTGGGAGTTTAGGGTGGTGGGATTTTAAACCGGTTGGTGGTGGGAATTAAGTCGGGTTTTCTCTCAAAGCTTAGACCCGGTGGTGGTGGGAACTTAGACCGGGTTGTGGTGGGAATTTAGACCAGATGGTGGTGAGATTTTAGACCGTTTGGTAGTGGGACTCTAGACCGGGTGTTCATGGGAGTTCAGATTGGGTGGTGGTGGGAGTTTTGACTGGTTTGTGGTGGGAGTTTAGACCAGGTGGTGGTGCGAGTTTAGACCTGGTGGTGGTTGGAAATTAGACCTGGTGGTGGTGAGAGTTTAGACGGTGTGGTGGTATCAGTTTAGACGGGGTCAGGTGGTGGTGGGAGTTTACACCGGGTGGTAGTAGGAGTTTAGACCAGGTAGTGGTGGGAGTTAAGACGGGGTGTTTATGGGAGTTTAGACCTGGTGGTGGTGGCACTTTAGACCGGGTTTTGATGGGTGTTTACACCGGGTTGTGGTGGGAGCTTAGACGGGGTGTTCATGGGATTTCAGACTGGTCGGTGGTGGGAGTTTTGACCGGTTGGTGGTGGAATGTAGACCAGGTGGTGGTGGGAGTTAAGACCAGGTGGTGGTGGGATTTTTGACCGGATGGTGGTAGGAGTTTAGACGACGTGGTGGTATCAGTTTAGACGGGGTGTTCATTGGAGTTTGGACTGGATGGTGGTGGGACTTTAGACCAAGTGGAGGTGGAAGTTTAGACCGGATAGTCGTGGGAGTTTAGACAGGGTAGTGGTTGGAGTTTAGATCGGGTGGTGGTGGGAGTTTAGAGCATGTGATGGTGGGAGTTTAGACAGCGTGGTTGTATGAGTTTAGACATGGTGTTTGTGGGAGTTTAGACCGGGTGGTTGTGGGAGTTTAGACCTGGTGGTGGTGGGACTTAAGACCAGGTGGTGGTGGGAGTTTAGATCAGGTAATGGTGGGAGTTTTGACTGGGTGGTGGTGGGAGTTTAAACGGCTTGGTGGTATGAGTTTAGACGGGTAATTCGTTAGTGTTTAGACCTGGTGGTGGTGGGAGTTGAGATGGCGAGGTGGTAGGAGTTTAGACAGGAAGGTGGTCGGAGTTTAGACTGGGTGGTGGTGGGAGTTTAGACAAGGTGGTGGTGGGAGCTTAGACCGGATGTTGGTGGGATCTTAGATTGGGTGGTGGTGGGAGTTTAAACTGGGTGGTGGTTGGAGTTTAGACCGGGTGGTTCTGGGAATTAAGACTAAATTGTGGTGGGAGTTTAGACCGGGTTGTGATAGGAGCTTAGATGGGGTGGTGGTGAGAGCTTAGACTGGGTGGTGTTGGGAGTTTAGACCGGGTTGTGGTGGGAGTTTGGACAGAAAGGTGGTGGGAGTTTAGACCAGGTGGTGGTGGGAGTTTAAACTGGGTGGTGGTGGGAGTTAAGACCGGGTGGTGGTGGGATTTTAGACCGTGTGGTGGTGGGACTCCAGACGGGGTGTTCATGGGAGTTCCGACCGGTTGGTGGTGTGAGTTTAGACCAGGTGGTGATGGGAGTTTAGACCAGGTGGTGGAGGGATTTTAGACCGGATGGTGGTGGGAGATTAGTCGGCATGGTGGTATCAGTTTATATGGGGTGTTCATTGGAGTTTAGACCGACGGGTGGCGGTTGTTTAGACCGGGTGGTGGTGGGAGTCTAGACTGGGTGGTGGTGGGAGTTTAGACCGGGTGGTGATTGCAGTTTACTCTGAGTGGTGGTGTGAGTTTAGACCGGGTGGTGGTGGGAGTTTAGACCGGGTGGTGGTGGGAGTTTAGACCAGGATGTGGTGGGAGTTTAGACCGTGTGGTGGTGGGAGTTTAGACCGTGTGGTTGTGGGAGTCTAGATGACGTGTTTGTGGGAACTAAGACCGGGTGGTGGTGGGAGTTTAGACTGGGTGGTGGTAGGAGTCTAGATGGGGTGGTGGTCAGAGTTTTGACCGAGTGGTGTTGGAAGTTTAGACCGGGTTGTGGTGGGAGTTAAGACGGGTTGGTGGTGGGAGTTTAGACCAGGTTGGTGGTGGGAGTTTAGACCGTGTGGTGGTGGGATATTAGACCACGTGATGGTGGGAATTGAGACCGGGTGGTGGTATGAGTCTTAGATTGGGTGGTGGTGGGAGTTTAGACTGGGTGGTGGTGGGAGTTTAGACCGGGTGGTGGTGGGAGTTTAGTCCAGGTGCTGGTGGGAGTTTAGATCGGGTGGTGGTGGGAGTTTAGACGGCATGTTGGTATGAGTGTAGCCGAGGTGTTTGTGGGAGTTTAGACCGGGTGGTGGTGGGAATCTAGACGGGGTGGTTGTTGGAGCTTAGACCGGGTGGTGGTGGGAGTTTAGATGGTGTGCTGGTATGAGTTTAGACAGGATGTTTGTGGGAGTTTAGACGGGGTGGTTGTGGGAGTTTAGACTGGGTGGTGATGGGAGTTTAGACCGAGTGGTGGTGGGAGTTTAGATCGGATGGTGGTGTTATTTTAGACCGGGTGGTGGTGAGAGTTTAGACTCGGTGGTGGTGGGAGTTTAGACTAGGTTGTGGTGGGAGTTTAGACCAGGTTGTAGTGGGAATTTAGATCATGTGGTTGTGGGAGCTTAGACGGGGTGTTCATGGGAGTTCAGACTGGGTGTTGGTGGGAGTTAAAACCGTGTGGTGGTAGGAGTTTAGACCGGATGGTGGTGGGATTTCAGACGGCGTGGTATTATGAGTTTTGATGGGGCATTTGTGGGTGTTTAGACCAGGTGGTTGTGGGAGTTCAGACCGCGTGGTGACGGGAGTTTAGACCCGGTGGTGGTTGGAGTTTAGATCATATGATGGTGGGATTTAAGACAGGGTGGTGGTGGGATTTTAGACCAGGTGGTGGTGGGAGTTGAGACCGGGTGGTGGTGGGAGTTTAGAACGGGTGGTGGTGGGAGATAAGATGGGGTGTCTGTGGTACTTTAGACCGGGTGGTGGTGGGAACTTAGACCGGGTTGTGGTGGGAATTTAGACAGGGTGGTGGTGGGAGTTAAGACCGGGTGGTGGTGGGATTTTAGACTGGGTGGTGGTGGGAGTTAAGACCGGGTGGTGGTGGGATTTTAGACCGTGTGGTGGTGGGACTCCAGACGGGGTGTTCATGGGAGTTCCGACCGGTTGGTGGTGTGAGTTTAGACCAGGTGGTGATGGGAGTTTAGACCAGGTGGTGGAGGGATTTTAGACCGGATGGTGGTGGGAGATTAGTCGGCATGGTGGTATCAGTTTATATGGGGTGTTCATTGGAGTTTAGACCGACGGGTGGCGGTTGTTTAGACCGGGTGGTGGTGGGAGTCTAGACTGGGTGGTGGTGGGAGTTTAGACCGGGTGGTGATTGCAGTTTACTCTGAGTGGTGGTGTGAGTTTAGACCGGGTGGTGGTGGGAGTTTAGACCGGGTGGTGGTGGGAGTTTAGACCAGGATGTGGTGGGAGTTTAGACCGTGTGGTGGTGGGAGTTTAGACCGTGTGGTTGTGGGAGTCTAGATGACGTGTTTGTGGGAACTAAGACCGGGTGGTGGTGGGAGTTTAGACTGGGTGGTGGTAGGAGTCTAGATGGGGTGGTGGTCAGAGTTTTGACCGAGTGGTGTTGGAAGTTTAGACCGGGTTGTGGTGGGAGTTAAGACGGGTTGGTGGTGGGAGTTTAGACCAGGTTGGTGGTGGGATTTTAGACCGTGTGGTGGTGGAATATTAGACCACGTGATGGTGGGAATTGAGACCGGGTGGTGGTATGAGTCTTAGATCGGGTGGTGGTGGGAGTTTAGACTGGGTGGTGGTGGGAGTTTTGACCAGTTGGTGGTAGGAGTTTAGACTGGGTGGTGGTGGGAGTTTAGACTGGGTGGTGGTGGGAGTTTAGACCGGGTGGTGGTGGGAGTTTAGTCCAGGTGCTGGTGGGAGTTTAGATCGGGTGGTGGTGGGAGTTTAGACGGCATGTTGGTATGAGTGTAGCCGAGGTGTTTGTGGGAGTTTAGACCGGGTGGTGGTGGGAATCTAGACGGGGTGGTTGTTGGAGCTTAGACCGGGTGGTGGTGGGAGTTTAGATGGTGTGCTGGTATGAGTTTAGACATGATGTTTGTGGGAGTTTAGACGGGGTGGTTGTGGGAGTTTAGACCAGGTGGTGATGGGAGTTTAGACCGGGTGGTGGTGGGAGTTTAGATCGGATGGTGGTGTTATTTTAGACCAGGTGGTGGTGAGAGTTTAGACTTGGTGGTGGTGGGAGTTTAGACTGGGTTGTGGTGGGAGTTTAGACCAGGTTGTAGTGGGAATTTAGATCGTGTGGTTGTGGGAGCTTAGACGGGGTGTTCATGGGAGTTCAGAGTGGGTGGTGGTGGGAGTTAAGACCGTGTGGTGGTAGGAGTTTAGACCGGGTGGTGGTGGGATTTTAGACGGCGTGGTGTTATGAGTTTTGATGGGGCATTTGTGGGTGTTTAGACCAGGTGGTTGTGGGAGTTCAGACCGCGTGGTGACGGGAGTTTAGACCCGGTGGTGGTTGGAGTTTAGATCATATGATGGTGGGATTTAAGACAGGGTGGTGGTGGGATTTTAGACCAGGTGGTGGTGGGAGTTGAGACCGGGTGGTGGTGGGAGTTTAGAATGGGTGGTGGTGGGAGATAAGATGGGGTGTCTGTGGTACTTTAGACCGGGTGGTGGTGGGAACTTAGACCGGGTTGTGGTGGGAATTTAGACTGGGTGGTGGTGGGAGTTTAGACCGTGTGGTGGTGGGATTCTAGAGTGGTTGTTCATTGTGTTGTGATATATGAAGGTTTGCATTTATGCAAGTTCCGTTTTTGGTGTAGCTAGCAGTATCGAGTTTCTCAGTATGCATCCATGCCCGAGTGCAGATGTCAGCAAAGCATCGTGGGTCTCCGGGATGACTTCAGCATACTGCTTTAGTTACGCGAATAGGCGTAACGAGTCGTTTCAGTCATGCAAACAGTCGCGATCCTATAGTATGACGAATAGGTCTCAT